GAAATGAGTGCCATATTCGTAATGAGCATCCCCAAATACCTCGAAAAGGATACCCATATAGCATATTTTGAAAAATCGTGTCCGCCATCTTGGATTTACAAATAAGTGCTATATTCGTTTTTCATCGACAAAACCGAGCACATCTGTAGGCACCTGATCGACAATGTCGGGCAAATCTGTAGGCACCTTTAACTTAATGATGAGTTAAGCAAGATACAATTTCCCCACTTTTGAGGGAAATGTTATTCCATGGCATCATTATTTGTATATTTGTGTGCGTGCCGACGAGCGTAGTTACAAGTTGCTTACGCCTACATGAATTTGGTTTTTGCCTCACTTGTGACAGTTCGTTTGATATGAAACTATCATTCTATGCGTTATTATTCTAAGGTATTACCAATAATTGCTACCTATTTGCTAACTTTACGAATTAAAGGTATACGCTTCATATCTACATTAGTTAATAAAATATAACCGATTGAAATAATACCAAAAAGTGCCTGACTAAACTAAAAAAGCAAAAGTTTTTAGTTCTTTATTGCCACAATATAAAGGGCAGGCTTTTAACAATTACTTCGAGACGAACTAGTCTGGTGAGGTTGCTGATATATGTCATAAGTGGATCAAATTGTTTTAACTTAATTTATCTGAGGATTCAAAGGTTTTGCTATTGCTAATATTGAGTTAAATATTTATTTTTCTGGTGTAAGTAGTGTTTGGTGACAATGAAAAGACGGAGTAAGTTTGTTGTGCCACTCGATGAGCAAAAAAATGCATTACTGCATTGACTTACAATTATATGGACGTCGGGTCCGCGCTAAAAATTGGTCGAACTTATAGGGCGTTAAAATCGTATACACGCTTTAGTCTTCGTTTGTTAGACTGACAACGAACCAAGCAAAATTAGATAGTACTGCGATGACATTACAATTTAAATTCAACGTTTTAGCTTTTTCATATTCTTTTACATGTCACTACGTTTAAATAGCTTGACTTGGGACATTTTTTTCGTGGTTTTTGTATTAGACCCGTCGTCCATTTATTTGTAAGTATTGACTTACTGCAAAAAAAGTATTTTTCCAGTAAATCTGATTTACCACCGCCTAACAGTAATCCACTGTTTAGTAAAATTAGTACCCTTTTATCACATAAAATTTCTACACAAGCACTATATCTTTCTGTAAAGAAAAATTTCGACTTTTCTTCAGTGGGCCTGATAATCCTGCTTTCGTTATAAAGATCAAAACAAAATTCTGTCTAATGATAATCAATCAAAAAAGGAATACAAGGACGAAGTAGCAGTCAGTAAAACAGCAATTTATAGTTTTATTATTGATACTTATCAGTGGGAACGAATGCAATCGTTAAGTAAACGTATAAAGTTAAATCATGAACCTGAGACTGTATTTAGAATGAAACATCGCTTGCCTAAACATCAGCGCCCATCTTTTGCGCGAAAAGATTTGGGAGGTTCATCCCATTGCACACAGTTGGATATTTAAACAGTACTCTATTTCTAAGAATAATAAAATAACGTGCAATGGAATTTGCAAAGAATGTAAGGCTAACACAAAAATTATAATTAACTGGCCTTCGAATAAAATAGCCCTGTGTAAGTGCACCGTAACAAACTACGATAAAGATTTGGTTCATACTTTTGCAAAAAAATTAAAACTGTATATTTTTTTTAACAAATATAGAATTACAACTAAATTCTTTGTTAATATTGCGTTATAAAGATTACCTACCCTCTCGGTTTTATACATTAGCAATCTCACCAGACTAGTTCGCCTCGAAGTAATTGTTCAACGCCTGCCCTTTATATTATGGCAATAAATCACTAAAAACTTTTGCTTTTTTAGTTTAGTCAGGTATTAAACGCAAAATAGGCGCCTTGACGTCGAGTTGCGGACACCAACCCGTTACACCAAGTACCAAATACCAAGTAGTTTAGTCAGGCACTTTTTCGCAAAATTTTCAATCGGTAAATTTTTTTAAATTAATGTAGATATGAAGCATATACCTTTAATTCGTGAAGGTAGCAAATAGGTAGCAATTATTGGTAATCCATACTTCTGGAAAATCTGCTCCCTTCATGCTGAACAAAGAGGCGACCAGCCATCCTGACGTCAGAATGGCTGGTCGCATGGTAGCAATAGGTAGCAATTATTTAGAAAAGGTAGCAAATAGTAGCAAATAGGTAGCAATTCTTGAATATACACTCAGTGCCAGGCGCCACAGGCGACCAGCCATCCTGAAGGTCAAGTTCTGAGACAGACCGTCCAGTTGTTGCAACCGTATTTTATATGAAAGTCTTTTATAGCTTTATGTGCTCTTGACTGAACTTCGGGTACATTTTCATTACAAACCTACTAATTGGATTTTATCGTGTGAAGAAGTGTCTATACAATTTGACCAATTAGTGATGTCCAGTTTTTTCCGATACTATAAAATAATGCTAACAATAAATAGAGAATTCACATTTAAAAATATTAATTTCGTTTCGTTTTTATGGACAACTCGCACTTGACTATGAATCGCATTTAACTATAACAAAATTATTTCTATAAAAAAGACTTATTGGTACTTAAGACAGATTCCCTGTACCTGGTATAGTTTCATACTTTCCCATATAGTTTCGGTAAAAAAAACACAATGTTATCTATATGCCTAATATTGTGTTTTTTTTGTAGGTAAATACTTACATTTTTTCTCAGAGACAACGAAGGTAAGGAAGGTAATGTGAGAAATTTCTCATTTAAAGACTACTTAATTTAGAAAAGAATAGAATTCATTTATTACAACGCCACGACACAAAAATATACAGAAAGAAATAACAAAGACGTTTGAAAAGAATACTCACAGATCTTAGTGACGGCGCTGAGTTGGTAGTTGATCTTGTCCCTTTCCATTTCTATCTCTTTGCTCTTCTCCATCTCTTCTGCTGCCGCTTTTTTGGTGATGTCAAAATTGTACATTAGGGTGCGATAATTCTCTTGCAAATCCCTGCGTTTGCACAAAGTAACATTTTAAACAGTCAATTGTTTTTTTACATATCAGCCCAAACAATAACGCAAATGTATTTTACTTTTATACATAAAAATATGTATTAAAATTTATCAATACGTATGAAGACGTCCTGTCACTTGGTATTAAAAAAAAGAAACGTTATAAATATAACCCGATTGCCACTATTTCGAATTAGGTCTAACCTATAGTCGTCGCGAATGGTCCCAAACACGTTGTCTCGCTGCTTGATATTGACTAAAACCGAATTCCACAAGCTCACTAATCGCTTCTTGTCTAGCTCCAAGTCTTCCAGCTCCGTGGAGTATGCGGTTACCTACAAATCATTCAACTATAAGTATACTTCTATGGTGTAATACCCTAATTGATTATATAATATACAAGGAATTAAAGTATAAAATTGTCGAGTTCTTAGGTTTTCGTGATTGTTACACATAGGGAATGAAACTATTTTTCCGGATTTAAATCGCTGAGATAGGTATCTCAATGGTAATTCCCATCACCATCCTAGCCAGTTAGCTACCGTGGGCAAATCTTTGTTTCAGAGAGCGCATGGTATCTGCGACAGTAATCGTATGGCAGGGAAACTTCAGCATATAAAGCAAGTCCTACATGCGAATAAGTTGAAGATTCCACGCCAATGCCGCAGGCCCCGTGTGAAACCATCAACAGTCGAACTAAGACCTGCCATCTTACCTTACGTGAGAGGTGTTACAGACAAGATCGGAAGAGTTCTCAGGCGTGCATCTATCAAGACCTATTTCAAGCCCTTGAGGGAGATTTCTCAGTTCCTGAGACCCGTGAAATGTAACATCCCCTTACAGGATGGAGGAGTTTACAAGCTTGACTGTGAGTGCGGTCTCTCTTATGTTGGACAAACAAAGCGAAGTATTTGGACCCGCGTCAAAGAACATATAGCTGATGTCAAACACCGTCGCGTAAAGAAGTCTGCAGTCTGCGAGCATGTCATGGATAAACCTACACATTCAATGAAGTTTGACAAACTCCAGGTCCTTGCAAGAGAAGACCCAGGATGCTGCGAGACGCCATTGAAATTAAAAAACATCCTAATTTCAACAGGGAAGATGGTTTCTCTGTACCACCAGTTTGGGATCCAGTATTTCCTCTAATGAAAATTCCAAACAGACATAAGACTGCAGTAGATACTAATTAATATGTTTTAGTTTATTTATTCTAATTTCTATTATTAATTAATAATAAATTGAACTTAATAAAAATTCATTCAATAAAATAATTTGTAAAACTTAATGTAGCGTAAATTGGAATGTTTTCTTTGTAAAATTAAAAATAAGGTATTTAATTAATAACTATTGTAACTATAGTGAAAAAATAGGGTGGTTTGCATCAATATTAACTGCCTCTGTGGCCGAACGGGTTCGATTCCCGGGCCGGGAGAAATATTTGTATGGCCTACATTTATTTCTCTCGTGAGTTTGGGTGTAATTTGTGGTTGTCTATGTGTGTGTCCATGGCACCCGCGACACAGGGTTTCCCTAGTGCGGGGCTATGTTGAGTTTGTGCGTTATTAATAATAAAAAAAAAAAAAAATTAGACATAACTGGTTGAAGACTGTACCACCTCAGTCAACCGTGACCATGGGACCTGTAAAGGGCAAGAGACGTCGAAAAAACAAATATATGCAATTTAAATCCGGAAAAATAGTTTCATTTCCTATGTGTAATAATCGCGAAAACCTAAGAACTCGATAGGTGGAGTAATTTCTCAAAAAAATAATTAATCATTATTTCAAGCGAGTGATGCAGGTTAAATTCACAAAAGTAAATCGTACCGTTTGTGCTACGTTACCTTGTCATTCACTTTGGCCATTTCCAAACTTTTAATTTCCATCTGCTTTTTGAACAACTCCAGCTTAGACTCCAACTTCCACACTTCATTGTTTAATGAATAGATCAACATATCCTGTAATGAATAAAAATGATGTTTTTACTGTTAGATACTCTTAAATAATGCATACAGTAGGTACCTATCCTAACTTAAATAAGTACAGATAATTTGTATTATTTGATGCTCGTCATGATCATAATAATCGCCATTTTGACCAACCGTGGAATCAGTCGACTGCTACTGATGTCTGATTCGCTATCAATGATACAAATGCTGACCCAGCAAGATCAATTGAAAATCTAACGATTTTTTAAATCCTCTCACCAAATTCCGCTTCTCGTCAGCGATAGCTTGTTTCTCCTGCTTCATCTTGTCGGTCATTCGCTGACTGATAGTGAGTTCAGATTCCGTCTCCTCGCGCCATTTCTCCAACTGTCGAACCAGCGCCTGCAACGCCTCCATCTCTTGTGTTGAGTCGCGTTCTGTGAGTCGAGGTTCACTGCATATGTTACGAGGAACTTTCAAAAATGCACTACAAATGTATTGTAATTCATGAACTATCTTTTATAGTTAAGTGTACATAGTTCACATATGATATTTTTAAAACAATTTGCTAAATATATAAATTTTGCAAAGGACTATCATGCACTAAAAACTTAAAAATAAGTTAGGATGTTCACAAAAGATAGAACGGCATCTTGGGATACGTAAAATCTTTAAGATAATAAAATTAATACTTCATACGGAATTTGCAATATTTTAAATTGGCACCATTTGCAAATAAATAATAATAATTAAATTAAGTCACATCAGGTTTACCAAGAAGCATATCCTGATTTAATTTGTCCAAGGCCTGCTTGTTCCTCTCGTTGGCAAGGCGCATCCTTTCCTCCGCCTTATGACGTTCCGACGCCCTTTCAGTTAGCGTGTGCTCATATTCTTCTATTAGCACCTATAATTATTAATCATAGATTAAAGATAAGATTAATAATGATTACTTAATGATTGAAGATTTAAGAAGTACGAAGCTAGAACAGCTACACCCCGATCACAAATTCTTGCGCGCGTATTTCGTAAGAGCCGACAGATGTTCATGTACATAGGACGCACTGTAAGTTTCCGGAACTGGCCACATACATAAACAATATTTAAAATGTAATTACAACATTTGAAAATGGAAGTTTTTGGCTGTAGAATACAGTTTGTTTCATTTGACTGTCACTTGTTTTTATATTGTGGCGTCATTTTAGAAATTGGTTGTCTACATCACCATGGATTTGATTCGTGAAAATTTTCGTAGTATGATTTTCTACGACTTTAAGTGTAATCAAACTGCTTTTGGCGATGAAGCACCATGCAAGACGACTATTTATAGCTGGTTTGCAGAATTCAAACGCGGTCGCGGGAATCACAGTGATGAATTTCGTGATGGTCGCCCGTCCACTGCTATGAACAACAAAAACATCGATGCTGTGCGCCGTATGATCAAAACAGACAGACATGTGACATACCATGAGATTCGGGCATCTTTAGGCATAGGCATGAGTCAAATACGATAAATACTACACAAACATTTGGATGTGAAAAAGCTGTGCTCTCGGTGAATCCCATACAATTTGACTGAGGCTCAAAAAACGGATCGCGTCACTTGGTGCAATGCCATGCTTACCAGATTCAATGAAGGGGCGTCAAATTTGGTGTAGGATATAGTAACAGGAGACGAAACAAGGATTTATAGTTACGATCCCAAAACAAAGCAGCAATCGAGCGTCTTTCGAGATGAGCCGAAACCAACCAAAGTGGCGCGCGTGCAAAGTGCCTCTAAGGGTGATTGCATCTTTTTTTCATAAAACTGGACACGTCGCTATTGTTGCTTTGGAGAATCGTTGTACCGTGAATAGTGATTGGTACACGACCATTTGTTTGCCGGAAATTATTGACAAACTCCGTAAAAATAACCGTAAACATCATCTTGCACCACGATAATGCCAGTTCTCACACGGCCAGAGAGACAAATGAATTTTGAAGGTGAACAACGTTGACCTTATGAGCCGTCCCGCATACAATCCCGACCTGGCACCTTGTGACTTATATTTATTTCCAAAAATTAAGAACCAGTTAAGCGGTCAACGATTTTTATCACCTGAAGAGGCTGTCGAAGAGTATGAAAAATATGTTTCAGAGATTGTCACGGAGGAGCGGCATAATTGTTTTCAAAATTGGTTCATTTGTATGAAAAAGTGCATTAACGTTAACGGAGAATATTTTTAGAAACAATAAATTCATTTCTGACCATTTCTAGTATTTTTGTACAAATAAAAATTAATGTAGTTATTAATCTGGTGTACAATTAAGTCTACTAGTCATTTTATTTTACTTTGTACTATGACATTGACACAACAATAAATAAATAATAAATTATCTGCACAACTTACTTTGGTTTCACAATATTTGTTACAAAAACAGATCTTATTTAAGGGCAAACTTGTCTAAACAAGATCAAGAGATCTGTGTCCAACTAGAACGTATTCCTATTAAGCTTACACAAAATTTGACAGAGATGTTAATATATATAAATATTTCAAATTATTTTAAATTGTGTTATAAAGAAGCAACATTCGTTCTGTGTACCGTTTAGGTTCTCGGGTTTCCCTCAGAGAAAAGTTTAAGGAGAGTGGTATCATGACTGTGGCATCACAGTACATTAACTCAAATATTTTGTGTGCCCGTAAAATATACATAATTTCATTAAGAAAAAAAGATATCCATAATATTAACCTTACAAGTAAATCCAAACTCATGGTACCACGATTTCGTTTATTTAAGGCAAACAATTCTTTTATGGGGAATTGTCATTGACTTACAAATAAATGGACGACGGGTCTAATACAAAAACCACGAAAAAAATGTCCCAAGTCAACCTATTCGAAATTTAAATTGTAATGTCATAGCAGTATCGCGCTGTCAGTAGAACAAATGAAGACTAAAGCGGAGTTTGGCGCTCTGTATACGATTTTAGCGCCTTACAAGTGCGGACACTTTTTAGCGCGGACCCGACGTCCATATAATTGTAAGTCAATGGGAATTGTATACGTTTTTACATATAATTGTAAGTCAATGGGAATTGTATACGTTTTTACAATAAGATTCCCGAGAATATAATAATCTTAATAATATTATTATTAAGATTGTCATTTCCTAAGTTTAAAACTTACATTAATAGGTTTTAATTAAAAAGTCGTATAACAAAATTGAAGAGTATGTGTTAGATAAAGGTGTATGGAAAGACAACATGAGTCTAGATTCCACACAATTATGATTCAAAGTGTATTCCAGCATTAAAATTTATTTAAAAAGAGCAAAGGCTAAAGCTTCTCGCTCGTTCTTCTCTGGGAGGTTAGCGTAGTGAACGAGCAGTAGCTTAAAATTACGTTTTCAAGTGTCAAAATTTTACCTATGGAATGAATTATTATTTGACTTTGAAAGTCAAGGTAATTTATTATTACAAAATAATTTCTTTTTTAAATCAAATTTGGTATTTGTAATATTTAATTTTTTATTCAATAATGTTATCTAATAATCACCCTCTGGGTGTTGGTGTCGTGATCGCTGCGGTAAATGCCTTCCAGTTCTTTTTCATAGTCCAACTTCGCCAATTGCAGACTGTCTCGCTATAAACAATAGATGACACATTAGTAAACACTAATGCTCTGGCCACACAGAGGCGGTCGCGGAAGCATTCCGGAAGCGAACATTTTTGCATGGTGCGAGTTCACATGAACCCTGCCACACTGAAACGCGCGGCGGCCGCGCGTCTGCCGCGTGTTTCAGTGTGACAGGGTTCATATGAACTCGTACAGTCAAGAGCACATAAAACTTGACACTTTGAACTTTGGATCGTTCTTATCATAAGCGGCATAGATTTAAATCTTAAGTGTCAAGCTTGACGTGCTCTTGACCCTTGCTGTGCTCTTGACATTACAAAATTTCCCGCGCCCGGAACGCTTCCGCGGCCGCCTCTGCGTGGCCTGAGCATAAATAATCAATTTAATATAGATATTATAGGTAGGCCGAAGAGATCGACCGGCTCGTGTACACACAAAGAAATTCGACGTGTCTGATACAGAAAAGATGAGAATGGTCTTGTACACGACAAGAACTTTGTCGGATCTAGCCACGAAAATATGTCGTGTCTATTGCACAATACGAATGTTTTCGGTCAGATGTGTGTAGGGTAAACGTGTCAGTGCATTAACGAGTCTTCCAGGTAGCTGTCGTTTTACTACCGACCGTGGGAAGAAATATGTTGACTACTAAGAAAAAAAAAATGGTGATTGCATATTATATAATATGCAATATAATATACTATACATGCTATGCTATCATCATTTTTTTAGTATTATTTTGTATAGAAAAAATTATAAGAAAAGAAGATACAAGAGAATTTATTAGATTCATCCAATTTTGCAACAACAAGATGAGTTTGGTATCCAGTTTCTTACACTGCGACAACACGAGGAAAAGTTTATCAAATATTTTATTTTACTCTGTACTTGTCATTTGTTGAAAATCTTACTTAAGAATAATAAATATTTTTCTCCATGCCTCAAAAATACATCGTTTATCTTTAGAAATCTCTAAAGTTTGGTCCACAATACGGCTCGTTCCTCTACTAAACCTATAAGTAAATCATGCATTTTATTAGTCGCAGTAAAATTAGCGGTGCAACAGTGGTACTTTGCAACACCAGTCCACGCGCATAAACGTTCGTTTACTGACAATGCGCCCCCATACAATAGCGGCAGAGCGCGTCGAGTCGGAGGTAGACAAGATTTTTTCTTGTCCGGCGCCGAGGCAGTGTACACAGTTCGTGTGTAGAAACGACACGAATTCTTGCATAGACCCGGCGACTTTTCTTAGCGTGTACATGCGCCCTTACGAGGCGTGTGTTTTTCTGCTAGATATATACACAAGAATTTCAATCAGTTAGTCGATCTCTACAATAGGCAAAGTATCTGAATTAGCAGTACATTCTTGCATTTAACAAAAAACAATAAACTAATTTCTTCGACCCCTCTAGGTTCATAGATTTCTCATAGATGGCGCTGCGGTTAAAAAGTCGTTGAAAACCAAATACAAAGATCCGACAACAAGCACATAGAAAAATTCTTCAGGTCCGCTGGTTCGTTCCGCGACTTAGTTGGCATAGCGTCTGGCACGATTTGCTAGGAGACGTCGGTTCGAATCCGGCCGGATCGAAGGATTTTTACTGTGTTCGATCTTTGTATTAATAAATAAACTAATATGTTTATAAAACTAATTTTTCTTTATCTGTATGATTAGAATAAATTATTTAAGTTCAACCTTGCAAGCCTTTAGGACGCTAATCCCTATTTACATACAAAAAGACGTGTGAATTTTTTTTTTAATAACATGCAGCATACAGCATCAGATATTTATTACATAGAGCATCAGATAATTGTTCTTGCGATTAAAGCAACTCACGAGACCCATGATCTCCTTTTCTGCGAGTTCGTTCTCCTTCTCCAGGAACCGCCGCAGGGACTCCTGGAACTTTTGCATCAGTGGGTGCGTTGATTCCAACACCGCCGGCATGGCTGTCATGTCACGGTTACGGCGCAGCCTTGGTACGTTTAAATAAATAATCATATATATAGTTAGTGTTTAACAAAAAATAAGATGAACGTGTCAAACGTAACCTTTGCATCAAAAATCTAACTTTTCAAGTAACGAAATGTAATTTTCGACTCAAGTGTCCTGACAATAACACTTTGCGAAATTAAAACAATTAGTTTCGAAATTACTTTTACAACAACAACATAATTAGTAGGTGACAGGTAACCAACCACCCAAAGGAGAAATATTATGTTCAATGGAAATATTTTGTATAAACCGTTGACACAATGGGTTCGTTTCGTTTTCATTAATGATAACGGTGCTTGACCCGTGTATTTCGTAGTCCGCAAACAGTCGTATCAAATTGACTAATGAAAATGTCATGTCCCATGTTGCTTAAGTGAGTGAGGGTCCACAAGGTAGAGAGCATTAGTATAGGAGATATAGAAAAACACATTACTCGTTAATGAATTCTTTGCTAGGCGCGTTGCATCGGCACCGGTCCAATGGGCAATGACAGCACTCACAGATACCACTCTCGAACGGCGGGTCCTGACACTCACAAATTGCTGGATCCTGTAAAATAAAAATAGTTATCAAGAACATTTGCTATCAAATATATTATCTGATACTCTTTTACCAAAAATCAACCTTATATTAATAAACTTTAGCTACCCTTGATGTAAACAGAAATGAATTTCACTCGGACCATTCTGATGCTGACTGTACTAGATCAGATTTTCCAAACATATGTACAGAGTGTAACAAAAGGGTTCTATAAAACTTTGGGTCATAAAATGCTCTCGAGTACAAGTAATTCGCAATCTCTATTATGTTAATGTAAAATCTATTATTTTTAGTTTATTTAGATACCAAGGTATTACTTTTAATTTTAGTAGTGGAACATAATATCTAATAACCGTATCCATACTGTTCATGGAAGGACGATAAAAAGGGATTCCTTTGCATATGAAGGTTGTTACAATAAAATATACTATAAATTAAACTAACTAACACGTGGAAACACAAAGGTTTCATGCTTGAACAAAAGGCAGGTTTCTGTATGCACGACCAGGCCATGTTCCTCGCGAGGGCAATCGCAATGGGGAGTCAGAGTTTCTTCAGAGGATGTATCCTTCGTACAATCACAGTTGACTCCGGATCTTGCCGTATCGGTCGGTTCAGACGGTTCCGACATTTTTATTTTTTTATAAACTCTAAAAATACTTCTATCGAAAATACTCAAAAACTTGCAGAAAAATCTGACACAAACTTGTGTTGTTGCCGTTGCTAGGCAACTGTTTAATTTTTCTTGACGTTCTAACTTTCGATTAAATTCTATATAATTATATCCCGGTATCTGGTTGTTAGAAACTTTTTAAGCGCATGCGTGCGTTGTACTGTGACACGACATAACGTTGTCGTGGATACCGTTCAGTAAACAAACGCATATTGCAAATTGGTTAGATTATAAACAGGCTGTTTAGTCGATTTTAAAGTTTTCATTGGGGTGTCTTGAAAAAATAATCATGGTAAGTAGCGATTTCCGTTGCTGAGTATATAGGGATGTGTACGTATACTTAGTACACAAGTCAGTGATGGGCAATAGGATAATCCGACCCAAGTCCAGCTGTAGGTAAGGCGATTACGTTGGTACTATTTCAGGAGATTTTGTGTAATTTAATTAGTATTTACTGTAGAGCTATTACAGCGGAAATGATTATAATTTGCTTACTTAATTATTACAACGTGTGCAGATATTGTCTCGATCGAAACCTGCCACGGACAGTCGAACAAGCACTGGCAGTGGTTCCGCTATGAAGAATTTCCCTGAGTTAGAGGATTTCATAGTGAAACGAGACTATGTTGGAGCTCTTACTATGCTTGAGGTAACACTCGCCTACTACTACTACCCATCGTTAAAGTATCATGTATGAAAGATTTGACCATCGTAGAATAGTCTCTCGCGCTAGTATAGCTCTGGAAGAAGAGTTGTCCCAGTCGTCTGGTATATATACTTAATCCTTTCATGGTATATATACTTAATACTTAACAAAAATGTCAATACTTTTCTTGATGTAGTGCTTATATTGATTGAATATAAAATATTTAATGTAACTTGTTTATAAAAACAAAAGCCGGCGTCAATACTTCGTAGAATGACATCTATTTACCAAGTTTTATTGGAATCGGTTACCGTAAAGTGCGCGAAACCGGATTCATCCCCCAGTTTGTCACGCTTAGTGGTGGAATATTTTCTTCAAATTTTAATGGGACCAACACTGAGGGGGTACCTCAGTGTTGGTCTCATTAAAATTCTTTCTAACAAAAAAGATTCATGGAAATCGGTTTACAAATGTCGGTGAAAAAACGCGTAACATACATACAAAAAATATAGTCCAATTGAGAACTTTTTTTTTGAAAGTCGGTTTAAATTGTATGTACCTATCATTGAATTTTGTTAGTACGTTGTTGATATATCTCTATGGAAAAGCGGTAGGCGGCAACTAGAGTAAAAGCACTTGAAAAACGCACTGTAAGACCGTAGTTCGTTTGTAGGTACTTTCAAAAGCAAACTTATAGACCAACTGTTCTTGCTACAAAACACGCCTGGAGCAAATTTATTTGAATAACGCACCCAGAAACAAAAACCATGAAGACAAAGTGAACTTGAACGTGAACGCAGTAGGCATAATGTCATGTTATATTTCTTAATTAATTAAGTTATGTGTACTTATTGAACTCGCGTCCACATTTTTTGCGTTTATTTGTTTAATTTTTTGAATCGGTCATTTCGAAAAGGATCCACTGAAAACCAGCGCTGTGGCTCCGCCGCATCATATGCTGAGTTGGGCCCTTTTCAGTGCAATACACTTTTAGTCTTAATCACAATATTATACTCATACACCTTATTGTGCCAAATAAATTGCTTTTCTTTCTTAGTTGGTTTTTTGAGATCCGTTGCGAAACGGGGTACCTACCTCGTATATACTATCATACTCTAATATTTTAGTTTTGTGTAAACGCTGTTACTGTTCATGGATGAGTTTCTTATTACTACTATTTATCTCCGCTATATTTATAGTTGTAAGTGTAAGTGTTCACTACACCAAAACGGCTGCCTTTATAGGTAAGAAATTTTGTATATTTCGCACGATCAAAAATTTTCATACCTTTCAGTTTCTAAAACATGAAGGCAATACAGACGCCTGGGCGGATGTATGGTCAGCATGGTGTTGGTTCCACCTTGGGGATTACATGCAAGCGTTGGAGCGTTACCAGCGAGTGCAGGCGAGGGAGAAACTGGATGAGAGAATTGCTGATAATGTGGCTATCGATATTGCTGTCTGCTACTTCTATTTAGGTATTGTACCTTTTTTTTTGACGGGGGGGAAATCTTTATGGATAGAATATTTAGGTATTGTACCTACCACTGCCGCTGGTAGTCGAAAAGAAAACTTACAAATTCCGTCGTATGCCTTTAACTTATTACCACATTACCGACGTAACAATCTTTTGTTTCAGGAATGTACAAAGAATCCCAAGCAATGGCAGATAAAGCACCTAAATGTGAATTGAAAGTAAATACTTCACCTAATTTATCTGTGTATGGTTTTGGCATAGGTCGGACTAGGTGCAATGCTACACTTAATAGAAATTCTTTACTTCTTATGCGGATTAATGCGGATCTACTGTTCTAATTACTTAGAAGAGTGCCAAAATAATACTCATTTTATTTTAATTTTTTTTCAAAAAGTATTTTACACTAGATTGACGAACATGCTCTTGCACAAATTACTAAGTACTAGGTGCCTAGTACCTATTTCTCATGTAGACTTATTTATTAAACAAAACAAAAATAACAATTACAATAATATATAATAAATGTAGGTTCATACTTACAGCAACAAAATAATTTTTTAAAGTTAATTTCATTCAATAGCGCCTTTTTCTAATTCAGATTTAGAATTTGCTTATCATTATATACAGAGCGTAATCGTTAAGTGTGCTCAGGCATTTATTCCATAAATGTAAAAAATATCAAAAAGCTTTAAACTGATATCGAAAGTACGTTACCTAATGAGTAAATCGACATCATCAATAACTTTTTTTAAATTAAAAATTTAAAAAAAATGAAATAATATTAGAAATATCCAAAATTTTAACGTTAAACGCTCCCATCTTAGAATAATAACGCATAGAAACCTAGCCCGCACACGCTAAGTGAGGCAAGTTAGAGGGTTCCAAACGCGTCCCAGGAGCGCGCGGGCTGTTAGTGCTCAAGGTCATATTGCACCGCGAACAGCTCCAAAATTTTTTGCTAAAAATGACGAAATGTGCGGTAAATGGGTGTAAAAATACAACAGACAAACATAAAATAGACACTAACATCGCATTCCACAAGTAAGTAATGCGTTTCAACTCATATTTTTATGTAAATATTCACTAAAACAGAAAAATAATTTCGCGGCAACAAGATACGAAAGTGTTGCAAAGTAACGAATTTTTTTTCTCCCCATTTTGCTATTCTGTATCAAAATAATTATATTACGTAAATTTTAGTGGTGCCTGTAATTTAGATTTATTTGCGCATCTTGAACTAATATTTACTTTAATAAACATTAAATGTTTTCGTTAACTCCTGTAAGTGATTGGGACACTTAATTATTTTATAATACTTTTAACGGCTCTGCGTTCATGCTTTATTGAATAATTATTTATTTTAATTTTATTTGAATTGGAGCACATATCGCAACAAATTTACAGTACTTATATATTTGTTTCTACTATAGTGTTGGCACCACCAGTACAACTTTGATAGCTTATTATATGTCTTTCTTTTCGTAACTCAAGCGAAATATTTTATATTAAAATATTTTATTTTCTTAAAAGGGGAGCATTCTTAAGCGATTTTTTAATCTATTTTAACAGTTATTTTCTTTAATGTTTGCTTATGGCATTTTCGGTTTTAGGTTTCGAATATGGCACTTATTTCTAAATCCAAGATGCGGGCGCGATTTTTCGAATAATGGCAAGTTGGGTATCGTTTTCGAGATGTTTGGGAATGTTCAATACAAATATGGCACTCATTTCTAAATCCAAGATGGCAAACACGACAGTTCAAACAAAAGCAATATTCGTAATGAGCACCCCCAAATACCTCGAAAACGATACCCAACTTGCCATTATTTGAAAAATCGTGCCCGCCATCTTGGATTTACAAATAGTGCCATATTCACATTGAGCATCCCCAAATACCTCGAAAATGATACCCACATAGCATTTTTTTGAAAAAATCGTGCCCGCCATCTTGGATTTAGAAATGAGTGCCACATTCGTAATGAGCACCCCCCCGTACCTCGAAAATGATACCCATATTGCATTTATTTGAAAACTCGTGTCCGCCATCTTGGATTTAGAAATGAGTGCCATATTCG